ATAGACAATGCAGGCGGACATATTTAAGCTTACTCTAATTGCTGGTATAAAGATAATTATGATAAAAACATGCATCAGTGCAAAGAACACGACAGTTGCGATATATTAATCAGTATTAAAAAGGCAGTTATAAATATTCATCCGAGTAAAAACGGCTGCATTGATTTGAAAAATCTGCCTTTCAGCCCCACATCAAGTCCATAGAAACTTTTCAAATACCAGCAATATGAAAGAGTCCAGTCCTAGAATGAATTTCAGTGTAAGTTTATTTAAGAGACCATTCGATGACAATAACTTTTCGTTTCTGGGTCAAAGTGAAAAAGTCCATGCCTCTTATCAGCAGCAGACATATTAGCTATGAGTCCAGGTATGATTAAGAACCATTCTCAAAAGGTAAGCATAAAAATGCTGCAAAAAAACGTATATTTCCACACAGTAGTTCATATATTTTTAATTTTCTGGCCACTATGCAAATAACAGTAGCCAATTTTTGTCTCATAATTTTCAAGGTGTTATTCAGATGCAGTGATTGCACAAGCTGCATGATTGATTTTTCGACTTTCCTGCTGGACAAGCCACATTTGTCATGATATGACATATAATGTGAATACATTTGCCTTCACTTTTTTTTCTACCAAAAAGTAACACTGGCAGGCATTATCAATTTAAAAATGAATTACTTTGAAATACTGCAGGGTTTTCATATCTGTGACTCACACGACAGGTTCTTTTATGCTTTACAATTGGGATATTTAGCAGCAGGTACAGGAACAATTCGTTAAATTTGAGAATATTCTGAGTTTCCAATAAGGCCTTGTAAAAGACCACAACTTTACAATGCAGCAAAAGTATACCCAATAAACACAGCATTTTTCTAGAGAATTGATTGATGTTTATTTGGTAAATTTGTGGGTTTTGGCCTATTTTCTTTTGAAAGTATATACATGTAGTTGAACCTGTTGTAACAGCCTCTGTTCAAGACAATCACCTGCACAAACTACCCCCCAACCCCCCCCCCCCCCTTGCATTTTTTCCTCAATATATTTATAATTTCACTGTCCACAAAGTCCACCAGCCTGACTCAACCCCTTTTCTCCTTGACAACAGGTTGCCGAATCAAAACAATTTCATCTCTATTTGTTCATTTTTGAACTGAAAGACATCACATTTCAAACAAATTTTCACAAATGTAAAATAAACCATGCCTCTCAATAACAGTCAACATTATATCTATATGGGCCATTCTTAAAAGGTTAGCACAAAAACATTGTCAAAGCTTACATTTTCAAAAAGTAGATCTTTGTGTTTTTCTTGCCATGGTAATGAAATGTAAACTCTAGCAGACGATATTTTCTACTTCAACTCTAAGCTGAGAAGATTTTGTTTGTTTTGGTAAAAGAGTTTTACGGAGCTCGCAACAGCACAAGGTCAATGAACCCATGGGACTAAGTTGATTATTTTCACGTTGGTTCACAGCACGGCTTCGGCTTAACGTGTGAAGTCGGAATGGTTGAAGTTACAAGTTAACAGTAGAAATTTTGTAGTAACAAAAGTCACTTACATGTTTGAATTTGTACATTTTAGTGTAAAGACCCATGGTCTTTTTTAAAAAAAAGCTAATTCTGTTCGGATCAACAATGAAGAACAAATTATTCAAATTAGTGCACCTAAAATATTTCCTGCGGGTTTCTCCAGATTCTGTATGTTTTATTAGGATGTGCCGAATCATAACTGAGAAGATATTCAGATGCAACACTTGCACAAGTAACTTGACCAATTCTTAAATTTTTCTACAGGACATGCTACACTTTTCACCATATGATTTGTGATTTGGGATACATTTGCCTTATTTTTCTCAGCGAAAATACAACACTGGTGAGCATTACTGAAGTTAAAAAAAGAGTTTTTTTTAAAATACTGTAAGGTATTCATTTCCATGACTTCGACGAACAGGGAATTTTCTAAATGCCCCATCAAGTGCGAAAAGATACACATGGCAACGCAAGAAACCCATACATATTCCCTTTGTACCCCTTGACCTAATGAAAGTATATCCACAGCTGAGTGTAAGACTCCGGTATACGTCACTTTTCAAAATGGTATACGGCAGTCTTACCTTAAGCAGTCTATATTAAAAAATATTATAATTGAAATATTTTGAGGGTTTAATCCAGCTTTTTAATTGACACCCAGTTTACATTAAATAAAGTATAAACCAATAAACATAGCACTTTCCTACAATCATTGATGTTTATTTGGTAAAGTTGTGGACTTTCGCCTATCTTTATATAAAAGTAGGCCTATATTTCTGAACTGAAAGAGGTCCGATTTCAAACAAATTCTCCTTTTTGCAACGGACGGAGTAAAACTGAACTGACCAAGCCCACCTTTTGAGAGTAGCTCCTATTTCCATGTTTGCAAAATAATATTAAAAAAAGACTATGGGGCATAAGGCTTCCATTTGCGTAAAATTGATTACATGTTACATATGTTTAAAATAGCTTGTAAATTGCTAAAGTAGTTCTGTGGAATGACACAAAGTGCTTAAAAACAGAACAAATAGTACCTGGACATTTCACAGATGACATTTCAAACAATTAGAGGGAAATGTCTACAGATGAAAGACTCGTATAACTTCAAAATAGCTTCCTTTCAACTAAATCAGTTCCCTGAAGGACAAACACAGTTACAACATGGTGCACTCATCAATCATTCATGTATATGTATGCATCATCTTTACCAATTGCCAAAAACTTAAATATGCAGCTGGGTAGACTGAGGAAAACAGGGTTTAGCACCTTTGCAAGGGGCACTATGTCCCATCAATCAGACATTGAACCAACAAAGATTCCTTGTGAGTCCTCAGCCTTATGGCCATGCCAGGCCACTCCCACCTAAAATGAGCAATTATGCAACAGTACATGTGTCACGACATGGTGGAATCAGGTGCTCGTCAATTTTCGGGCATGTGGAGTTATTGATATCATTTTAAAACTAGTTCAATTGTCTTGCTATCGGTGAAAAAAATGCCCATCTATCTTGAATAGAAGTCAAGATATTTGAGATTGAAGAAGGAGGGGTCGCCTGGTTTCAAAGATAGAATTAGCAAGAAAATGACCTCAAAAGCTTGGTTATTGCCATAGAGTTCACCCAAAAATGTGTTCTTAATAGACAACAATGGTGTTAAGCCAAAAGACAAAAATTTGATAAAAATTACCATACTGGCAGAAAAATGCCAGTTTCTTCAATTTCATTATTTTGACGAGTGCCTGATTTCACAACGCTGCCTAACATTTTTCATTTTGTATTATGAGCTACTAAAACAAATAATTAAAATATGAATTTCCAAATAGAAATATTGTTGTATGAGTATTGTGATTGAGTTCTTATTTCTGTCTAATAGTATAAGGACAATGCATGTTTTGAACCTAAGGTGAGTTTGCTCAGCTTTGAAATTTAGTTGAGATCTGCCTATTGACTCATTGAGATAACTGCCATCTTAAATTGTTAGCCTCTTTAAATAAAAACATGAGTCACACTAGAGACTGAGTTCAACAGATCAGGAACTTCATGATTATTCTTTGCCTGGACCGATGGCATTGTGATTATATAACTTTTGGGAGAAGGGGGAGAATGATGATGATTTTAGCATTCAGTTTGGGGAGCCCTGCAGCCAACAGTTTTGATCAGCCATTAATTCAGGAGTATAAAAATAACATTGAGAAGGTTTCCAAAGGGTGGCATGATACATTCAGAGCAGAATTTCACCTCTGTAAGACAGACAAACTGTCATAGCCAAAAAAAATCTGCCCAAAAGAACTAAGAACTGCTTTCAAAAAGATAACAAAACTGGCCACCACAACAAAATCTAAATTTACCCATATGATGGAGCAGTAAAGATAAGACATTTAATTGCACTTGAGCTCAGGTGCTACATTGAGTTGTACCACACTTCTTGAATATATATAACGATAAATCAAAAGTGTTTTATCTCTTAAGTTACATGTACAATACTGAGAACAAAGTTATGCCCAACAGCTTTAAGTGCACAGGATAGCCATTATTTGAATTTAAAAATATGTATCTCTTTGACATCATTTTTTAAAAATCAACAACAACAAATTCTGTGTAAATGCCTGTATACATTTCTTTCAAAATTTTTCAGATTATTCAGAACATTAAAAATCAAAAGTAAAAGCTCATAGAACATTTTTGCATGCCACCAAATAAACAGAAAACATATTTCAAATAATTTGATCATAAAAAGAAGCATGCACATCCTCTAAAATACATAATGTCTGCATTTTTCAGTACTGTTTAAGCATGTAAACATTGAAATTGTAGCTTACATATTTTCTTTCATTCTCGACCATCAATGATTTATTCATAAAGGGACCAGCCATCCATGTCCAGGTGCTGTTTTAGCTATCTTTCATTCTCATAAAATAGCCCACCTTTACACGCCAAATTATGTGTGCCTCAGTTTCTGTTGTGTGTGTGGGGGGGGTTGGTAAGTGTTTTACGGTGCTCGCAACTGCATAAGGTCATATGAACGTGTGGGACATATTTAAACTTTCAGCTGGTAGGAAATTTTGAATTTTGCCCGGGTGGTGGCCGAAACCAACTCTTATCCATTTTAGGCCACCAAGGGATCTTTAACATGCGCAAATTGCAAAAGGGCCCTCCGAGATTTTTCACTCTTGTCCGAGAATGCTAGGTGATGATCTATCCTTCCAGAAGATCAGGGGTGTGGCTGAAAGACAGCAATAAGAAGGAGCCAAGGTGTAGAAGTAGAAAGGCTGCAGAAAGAGTCAGGAGCTCAGAGGAGGGGGCAAAGGTGGTGAGGGGTGGGGGCAGAGATAGGAGACGAAAGCAGACGACAGAACATTGCTAGAGAGCAGGAAAAGAGGTGAAAAGAGACAATTTTAGAGAAGAAAATTTTTCAGTCGCTACCCGGATTCGAACCCGAGACCTTTGAATGAGAGACCAACACCTTAACCTGTAAGCCAAGAGAGCCCCTGTATTGTGTGTGATTCTAGAGCTTTCTGCATTGTTTCAAAATGTGAAGTTTGATAGAGATATGGTATAGCATGCGTGTCCAACTTAAAATCAAAGTTTTTTTAGAATAACATTTGATTCCACTTACTTTGAGCTTTCAGCCAGAAAACCGAAAAACGTAAACAAAAATACTATAAAAAAGGCAAAGAAATTCAAATTTTTTTACTTTAAAATGTGTAAGTTTTTCAATATTGTGAGGAAGATAGGGGGATACAAGGAATAAGGAAAGTGAAGAAAGTAACAATCCAAGATCCCGGGTCAAAATTATGTCACTAGTGGTGGGCTAGATCTAGACTGCCAATTCATGAACAATTAGCAATGAGACTGCCGTCCTGGCTAACGAGTTAAGTTGAAAATCAGCACTGACAGTAGGAACACACACACCCTAGCAACAAAAGGGTCCATTCTCATGACCATTTTACAAATTTGAGCCAGCAAATGACTGGATCACAGGACATGGGTAAAAGTAATTATCTGCACCTCAGCTGACTGTGATTCTTTTTTCAAACAGTACAAACCATTTTACTTAGAAATAGATTGCTCTTTCAAAATCAGGAATCATAATGTCATACTTTTATAGCAACATGTGATTGATAGTACCCTCCTGGGGCTTCACAGTAATCGTAAATACATGTACTTTCTTCATCAGTTACTGTCTATTGCTTCTAGGCCAACAGACCATTTTACTTCAATAGAACTGGCAAACGAAAGAAGATATTGGACCAAAACAAAGAAGACATTAAAAAAACCCAAAAAAAACCAAAATTGTAATAAACATAAAAAAAAGAAAGGAAGTCTTTGGAAAAATCAAGACAGTGGACAAAAATAAAACACAACGAATGGAAAAAAAAAAAAAAAGACAACAAAGCATTTCTCTTTTGTCCAATGTCAGTTACACTACCACAAATATTATTGCACTTGTGTCAGCATTGCTCGTATGCTTGCCTGCAGACCCAGCGCCAACTCAGCACCGCTGTAAGGGGAGCCAAGAGGAGGGACGTGGATGAATGCCGAGCAATCCCTATTCTGATGCAGTGAAATGTAGTAAGAGAAGTCACATAGATACCTGAGGGAAAAAGAAGACAAAATTAGAAAGTAAATAATATAATCAAAGGAAAAGTTTCAATTTGCAGTTCACACAGCATGTCAGCAGGACAATGACCATACTTCACCAGGGACACAGATACTCTTTGAGTAATGAGAGGCACATACGTACTACAGCAGCCGTTTAGCATTTGTGCCTTTGTAAAAAACAGGACTGAAACACTGAAAAAAAACCCAACCCAAGACAGCAAAGAAGTAGGACCTACCAGTGGTATCCTCCAACCACCTGTATGGACAAATAAGACCATCGACAAATAGCTACACTTTTGGAGGAACAGAAGAGGACAGTTGTAGCCCACCTGAAAAGAAGGTGACACAGCAGGCTTGAATAGTAATGATACTCCAAGTTTTGTCATCCACCCCCCCCCCCCAAAAAAAAACCAACCCAACCCACAACGGAGGTCATTTTGGGTCAGGTTGTGACCCTGTTAATTGGGTCCAACCCAAGCCAAATAGGGAATACAGTATTCCAGATGAAAGAGAGAGATACTCAATAAAATATTATACTTCCTAAAGCTAGAAATGAACTCACATCTTTACAGCATGACAAAAAAGAGCCTTATCTTTACATGACTGATGCGGAAGGCTTCTGAGGAACACTCAAACACGAGTAATAATAAATACAAGTAGTATAGTAAAACAAAAAAGTGCAGAGAGGCAAAAATTATGAAATACGAAAGAGTGGAAAATATCACTCTATTCAAAATGACAGGCCTCTCTCTTCTTTTACTCAAAAGTTTAAACACCCTTTTCATGCTGTCGTATACATCAACTCTGAACAAGGGAGCCTAATGCCTCATTAACCATCTCCAGTGACAAGCACTGTTTTCCTTAGTGCTGTGCACTCCTGTCACAGGCCTGTTTTTCTGTTTGATCACTACTCTTGATGGTTTTTCATGCCTGTATTCATTTGTGCAATTTGAACAGGAGACTACTGAAGGAGGGGGGGGAGAGGGAAAGACCCATTTCTACTGGAAGGACACATCAGCAAAATTCAACCAAATAACAATTCCATTCATCTTCTCTCACCTTCCAGGGTCATGTGACACAACCGTAGTGACCTTGAGGTTTGCTTCATTCACAGCTTTGCACACCTGTGCCATGTTAATTTTCGAGACAATGACATCATGACAGCTTCCATCCACACATGTTTGGGTAATGGGTGTAACGCCCCGGACATCACACCTATTGTAGCCGTCATTGTGAGCCTGCTGCTCCAGGGTGATTTCATCAGCAATGCCTGACACACCCACGTGAACCATCAGCTAGAAATCATGGGAGCAAAAAGAGGGGGAAAATTTAATATGATAGTATAGTATGGTACAGTACGAATTTAATGTCCTTCTCAAAGAGGCAGGACCTCTGATCTTATTTTACTTTTTTTTATAGTAGAGGGTTTTACGGCGCTCGCAACTGCATAAGGTCATATGAGCGCCAAAGAGTGGGTGTCAAAAGAGAAGTCTTTACAGAGAATCAGATTTAGACTGCTCACCTCTCTAGCTTCAACAGCACAAGGTCTGCTTCGACTATCAAGGCACCCCGGAAATAGCAGGTCACAAGAGAGTGACAAACATACAAAAGAAGTAGAGGAAAAAGACAATAGTAAGGATCAGGAAAGAAAAAGCAGCAGTTCCCTGTTGTAGATCAGGCACAGTTATGAGCGTGACATGAGTCAGCCCATTTACAATTCTACTATGCTTGAACAAGAAATGTCCCCCCTTTGGGAATGGCCTAAAGACACTACAGTCAGTGGCACTGCCCCGGGGGGTGACCTCTGATCTAATGTCTATCTAAAGTATTATCTATAAACAAGGAGATTAAAAGTAATGGAGGATGCTCTGTGGGCGGCACCGCACGCCTGATAGGAGCCCTCTCTCGCGGCGGAACTGTGGTCTACCTGCGCTGCGCGAATCCCCGACACACGCACTGAAATCTAGATAGGAAAGAAGGTTTCATTCCGAGGTCCTTGAGATTAGGAAAGTCAATTAGTAAAAATGCCTTGCATATGTGTTGTATTTAAGTGTAAGAACCAATATGATGCTGCAGTGGACCGAAGTTTTCACAGTTAAGTTGTTTTCCTTTTTAAAAATTTGAATGAAAGTGTTTTTATGCCCCCAGCAACACAATTTAGATCATTAACATTCATAAGAGGCTGGCTCCGGCGCTACCTGCCAAGGCCAACCCAGGCTGAAAGGGATACAACACCCCAGCAGAAAGACCGAGATACTCAATTTTTAAAAGTATTCTTATTCTTATATATATAATTATTATGTGTATATATATAATTATTATGTGTGTGTATGTATATATATATATTATACATTTATATTGTTTTCCATTATGTGTGCAAATTAGATGCTACTGTTGTCTAAATGTAGATATCTGGAGGCTCCATTAGAATATGAAATCAATACTCAACAACAATAATGATGAATATTTTCTATGTTAAAGAAACACCAAACCATATCAGATGAGGGGAGAGGGTAGGGTGGGATGGATAAGAGTTTGAGTCAAGTTAGATAGAACTATACTCGGTTTAATTCTATTGTTGTAGTCTTCACCTAAGATCCCACAATCAATAATTCCGGTCCAGTTAAGATTCTGCTGTTTAAAAATAAACCAAACAAAGCAACAACAAATTTTAATACACAAGAGTCATCACTGAGATAAATTATCCCCCCCCCCCCCCCCCCTGGAGTGTAATAAGGGACTAAAAACGCTGTTCTCCATATCATACTTTATTGAACAAACAACAACAAAAACGTTCAAAGGTCATCCACGCTCATGCATGCGATCACACCTCCAAAGGTGCTGTTATCTCTTTTTTTTTTTGTATATTTGAAATCATGGTGCGCTCTACTTTGTGAAAACCAGGAAACAAAATGATTGTAATCAATAATATTATTATTTATAGACCAAGACATACTATTAGCAATCAGATAAAGCTGCCATCGACCCTCTATTGTGTTCGCTATTCCTTACACATAAAGTTAGTTATGGCACACGCCTAGAATCATGCAATCATAATATCTTAAATTCAGTTTTATATTAAAGTATATTTTTATCCATTTCTAATAATTAAATATTTTGGCATCTTGAAAGATTATCTTTATAATTTGGTATGTTTGATAATTTTATGTTATTTGGACAAGTTTTCTTTTTATTTTACACATCTTTCTGATTTTAAAACTAGATTATAACATAAAATTCTTTAAAAATTGAATAGTCCGTATCACACACAGAATTTTTTTTTTTTTTTTCCCTGTCATTATCCGTCAGCCCGTCATTTGATCACAATCTCTCTCTCTCTCTCTCTCTCTCTCTCTCTCTCTCTCTCTCTCTCTTCTCTGTCTGTCTGTCTGTCTGTCTGTCTGTCTCTCTTTCTCTCTCTCTCTCTCTTATTTAATTTTTCCCATTCTCCTTCGTCCCTTCCCAAGGCCCGCCCCTCCTCTTTCATCCCTGCTCTATCCCCTCTTCCTTGCGTGCATTCCCCCACCCCGCCCACCCCCACAACGTGGCCCAGCCCGATAAGATTCTATAAAAAGAAACGCCATAGTTCGAGATTTAGCCCACACTCGGCTGCCATATTTGATCCCCACCGCGGCGTACTGCTCGTGGCACCGCGAAGAGAGAGAGGAGGCTCCATTAGTTCTAAACTCCTTGTCTATAAAGCAAACATGTCGGGGACGGAGAGCTCTGAAAACTCCCTGAACCCCCAAAGACCCAAAATGACCAGCTACTGATTCAAATGAGGGTCACCTGCACACTATATAGTTCAGAACGTTACCAACTAAGGTAACTGAAAACCCTGAAATGCAATAACCATATAATAAGTAGAAGTTTTTCTGGAGGAGGGAAGGAATAAGGCCTAGGGTACTTCTCTAGGCTAATGAGGGGGGAAAAGTCATAAGACGCATCATAAAACACATCCATTCACATTAAAAAAACAAATAGTTGCAAGAAAATATTTGTGTGTTTGATATTAATCTATTAATTAGTATGATCTTCCAGAACCCAAGTCAAGTTGTCTTTACCTCAACTGTGAATACTTCTTTTGCTGTTAGGTCAACATTGCATCACTTTTTACTTAGTGACACCCACTAAAGTGTCTTCAGGACTGGACACCTCAGCCCAGTGAAATAACCAACAAAGGGGACCTCAGCTCAATTTCTTTTCAGGAGTAAATAACGGTTTGTTTTTTCTTCTGCTTTTATCTTTTACAGCATCTTTTCTCAAACCCAGGGTGGGTAAACTTTCGGAAATAAAATTATTAAAAAATTTTTTAATGAACAAACAAATTGTCCTTTAAATTTCACTCGAAACCTAGTCTTAGCTCTAGTATTTTGACAAATGCAATCATCTATTGATTTTTGGGATTTTTTTAACTCGCCAAATATTTCTGCAGGCTACAGAAAACTAAATGTGGGGTCGCATTTGGCCCATGGGCTGTAATTTTCTCACCTCTGTTCTAATTTAAGAGAAACGAATTCCTAAGAGCCAATACTCACCACTGGTTTATGTTTTTCCCATAAGCCAGGAATAATTTTCTTCACATCTTCATACACAACAGGAAGTTCATAAATGATAAGTTCTACATCATCACTAAGACCAAGCTTGGCCAACTCCTGCACAGCGACCCAGCTTGCATTCACCAAGTGTCCCTTGAAAGGTCCAAAACCTAAGGAAAATGAATAAAGTTATCACAAGTGGTCGGGACACACTTTTAATAGATTTTAAAAAATGAAAGAAGTTGATTCTGTTCATGTCTTTCCTCTTTTCTTGCTAAAAGTAATAAACAAAGCAGCATTACTTTCGTTGACATGAAAACGAAGTAACACAAGATATCATGTCAATTGGCAACAAACAGATTACTTTTTGTAGATTGTCTTTATCCTGATGTACTGCCATCAGTCAATGTTGTCAACACTGATGATGAAAACAAGAATACAAGAAGAGTGAACTGCATTCAGAGATATACAAGCAGCTCCCACTTCAGCTTTTCAGTGCACATTGCACCACTGCCAGGGCAAAACAATTTAAATTAAAGCGCACTGAAGCTAAAGTATAGAATGTTGACTATCATCTACTATAGAGACTTCTTCTTCAGTAAAACTGCTTCAAGACAAGACCGCACAAAATTGATTAAACTGTGTCCCAGCTTAAATCAATTTGTTTAAATCACCATGACAGAAAGATAGACTGACAAAGAAACTTCTAGCCAGAGAGACAGGGAGGGAGGATAAGAAAGGGATGGACAGATGGATAGACTGAATGGCAAGTAGACGAAGATGAGATAAACACACACAAAACAGATTCAGGGAAAGAAAGATCAAATTGATGAAGAAAAAATGACAAATATGTAATACGAATGTAAACAGCGCATCATGATAATACAGGGTGAGTGAAGAATGAACCGACTTTATGACGCCAGCGCATTGCTTCAGTTCTCAAGCATTGTTATGGCATGAGTCAGTGACCATTTGAAAGAGGCTTTATAATGTACATTTTCAATTAAAAAAAGAATGAACTGATTTTATGACGCAATGCTTCAGTTCTCAAGTACTGTTTTGGAATGAGTCAGTGACCATTTGAAATGGTAGTTATATCTAACTTTTGAATAGCTGTGCCCTAGTGATGGATTGGTCATTTAAAAGGGCTCAAAATCGTACCCTCGGTGCTTGGCCTGCAGACCCCTAGACATCACCATGTGTTAGTTAGTTAGTAGTATAAGGTTTTACGGCGCTCGCAACTGCTAAGGTCATATGAGCGCGCGAAACACAAGTTGTTCACCTCTGCGAAAGTTCACTTCACGACTGGTAACTAGTTTACTTTAAAATGCTAAAAAGTTAAAATATTCAAATTCGGTGTAAATACATTTGTGATCTAAAACAACTTTTAAGTAGCAATAAAAATTTTAAATAATATCAGATTCACTTTACAACTCGCCATAAAGGCCAATGGCCTTTATAAAATTTAAAATTCTGCTGGGAACAACGACGGAGAAAATATCCTGCAATTTCTTGCATTTATAATATTTCCTTCGGATCTCTCCAAAGTCTAGACATTCTGTTAAAATGTGTCTAATGGTAAAATCTGTGTCGCATCCGACACAGAACGGCTTCTCCTCTCCCTGCAGGAGGTATTTGTGAGTCAGGGCCGTGTGTCCGATGCGCAATCGAGTAAAAATGACTTCGTCTCTTCTGGAGAGATCCGAAGGATTTCGCTGTTCTAGTCTGGGTTTAATTTCGTATAATTTATTATTTTTCTGGTTTTCCCAGTGGCTCTCCCACAGACTGGAGGTGTACTTTTTGACTTTATTTCTAAAGTCAGTCTGTGGGAGAGTGTTTGTCGTTGATCCCAGCAGAAGGGATGAGGCTTTCTTCGCCAGGTCGTCTACCTGCTCGTTTCCTCGGATGCCCACATGGCTTGGGATCCATGCGAACATGATGTTTTTTCCTGTTTCGGATAGTGTATGGATTTTCTGTTGTAGCCTAACTATTTTTGGGTGTAAGAGTGTGTAGTTTGTGAGTGAGGTGATGCAAGACAGAGAGTCAGAAAGGATAAGGAAAGATTTGTTAGGAGAATTTTCTACAGAGTCCAGTGCCATGTCAATGGCAGTGGCCTCCGCAGTGAAAATGGAGGCTTCAGGATGGAGTCTCCTCTGGTGTGTATTGTTGGGAGATAGGGCTGCGGCGCCCACTTCATTGTCTTTTTTGGAGCCATCCGTGAAGATGAGCTCCGCACCGGGGTATTTATCTATTAGTTTTTTGTATTCTGCTTGAAAAGTTTTGGTGTTTGTGCTTTCTTTGTTGTGTGTGGTCAGCTGTAAATCTACTTTTGCCTTGGTGAGGTGCCACGGAGGGAGGTCGGGGAAAAGAATTTGTTGGATGTCTTGTTTGGAAAAGTGTAAGTTTTTGAGGTCCTCGAGGATTCTGAGGCCGAAAGGTTTGATGAGTTTTTCGTTGTTTTGGAATCTGTTTCTGGTTTCTGGATTTGTTTGAAAAATGCTGTTGTGCGCTGGATTTTCCGGTGTTGAGCTCTGTTTAACTGCGTATTGTAGTGAGAGTTGTGTGCGTCTGAGTGAGAGTGGTGGAATGTTGGCCTCGGCCTGTAGGCTCTCCACCGGAGAAGTGCGGAAAGCCCCCAGAGCGAGGCGGAGTCCTTGGTTCTGTATTGGATCTAGTATTTTTAAGACGTGTGGTTTTGCCGATCCGTAGACTTGACAGCCGTAGTCAAGCCTGGACCGGACAAGGGAGATGTACAAGTGGAGAAGGTGTTTTGAGTCCCCGCCCCACTCCGGATGTGATAGAATTTTCAAAGCGTTTAACGCTTTCTGGCACCTCACACGAAGGTCTTTGATGTGTGGTGTGAATGTAAGTTTTTTGTCAAAAATGACACCGAGGAAACGAGCTTGGTCCTGGACGGGAATCCTTTCCCCGTATAGTGTCAAATCCGGCTGCAGCACACGTCTGCCTGTTCGGCAGGTGTACTGCAACCGTCTTTGACGGGGAGAACTTGAAACCGTTGTTGTTTGCCCACGTTTCAAGTTTTTGCAGCTGCGTTTGCAGCTGCCTTTCCATAGATCTCAAATGAGGATTTTTCGATCGGCAGCATATCAAGAAGTCGTCAACGTATAACGAGCTGTCTATGCTGTTCTGGAGGGTTTTCACTATGGAGTTAATTTTGATTTCGAAAAGGAGAGGAGAAAGGATGCTCCCCTGGGGGACTCCTTCCTCCTGTTGGTGGGGGTCTGAAAGGGAGGATCCGACACGAACCTGGAAGGAACGGTTCTTCAGGAAGTTGCCAATGAAGGCAGGGAGGTGACCGCGTATGCCGAGTGCGTGCAGGTCTTGAAGAATGCCGTACTTCCAGGTTGTGTCGAAGGCTTTTTCTAGGTCAAAAAAGATGGCGATCATGTGGCCTCTTTCGGCGAACGTCTCGCGTATAAAGGTCTCCAGGCGGACCAGGTGATCCAGAGTGGATCGGGTTTTCCTGAATCCGCACTGGAGACCGCTCAGCGAGCCCGTCGTTTCCAGAAACCACATGAGTCGCCTGTGAATCATTTTTTCAATTAGTTTGCAGAGACAGCTCGTTAGGGCTATAGGTCTGTAATTGGATGGGTGTGTGTGGTCTTTGTTTGGTTTGGGTATTGGAATGACAGTGGCGAGACGCCAAGACTCCGGAAAGGAGTGCGACCGCCACATGTCGTTGTATATGTGTAGTATGAGTGTGAGTGTTTCTGAGGGTAAGTGTCTAATGATCTTGTTGTGGATGTCATCCGGTCCCGGGGCTGTATCGCCCAGGTCCGAGATGCACGATGTTAATTCGTCTATTGTGAAGTCTGCGTTGTAGGTTTCAGTGTTGTTTGAGTGGAAGTTTAGGTGTTGTTTTTCTCTGTTAGTTTTGACGTTTTGAAAAGTGGTGTTGTAGTTTGCTTGGGATGAGTTTTTGGCTAGAGATGTAGCTATTGTGTTTGCAATGTCTACTTGTGTTTCAGCTGTTGTTCCATCCGGCCTCTGGACGTGCCGAATGGTGTCTGTGCGTCTACCTGAGAATTTTTTAGCAATTTGGAAAACTTGATTGAGTGGTGTCTGGCTGTTGATTTTGGAGATGTATTTTTGGAATGATTGTCTTTTGCTCTCCCTGAGGCATCTACGTGCCTCAGCTCGAGCCTTTAAATAAAGTATCTTATTTTCTATGGTGGTGTTGTTGACGGCTCTTCGATACGCTGCCTTCTTTTTCTTTACTGCGTCCTCACATTCCCAAGAGAACCAGACCTTGTTCCTCCGGGGTTTTGTTTTTGTTTTTGGAATGTGATTGTGGCATATTTCTAAGAGTTTTTCGTGAAATTTATTGTAGTTGTGGTCGAAATTGGGATTAAGAATCTTGGAACATTGATTGGCAAACCCGTCCCAGTCGGCTTTTTTGAAGTTGAAGCGTTCTGGGATCGGGTCGTTTTGGAGGCTATTGTTTTTGAGGAGAATTGGGAAATGGTCCGTACGGTCATCCAGCACAGACCACTCAAGATCTGGGACTAGTTCAGGGGTACAAAAAGTAAGGTCAAGGGATGAAGTGCCATAAGTGGCTCTGTTTCTGAAAGTTGGGGATTTATCATTTAAGAGACAGATGTTATTTTGAAATAAAAAGTTTTCTATTATTTTACCTTTCTGGTCTATAGGTTTGTCTCCCCAAAGGGGGCTGTGGGCATTGAAATCACCTAGTAAAATAAAGGGTTTTGGGAGCTGGGACTTTAAGTCATTTAGTTGGGTTATTTTGAGGGGGTAATTTGGTGGGATGTAAACTGAGCAGATCGTGATTGGTCTGTGCAGGGTGACCCGTACGGCAATAGCCTGGAGGGTCGTCTTAAGATGTACTTGTCTGTGGAGTGTGTGGGTGTCGGTGTAGATGGTGGTACCACCGGAAGCAATCTGGTTCTCCGTGTGAATGTGATGGTACGCAGTAAATCCTCTTAAGTCTATGGTTGAAGCCGGGGCGAATTTTGTTTCTTGAATACAGGCCACCCGTGGGCACAGTGTGGCCTGTAAATGTTGCAATTCTGCAATGGAAGGTCGGATTCCGCCGGCATTCCATTGCAGGACCGCCATTATGAATTTTTACTTTTTGGTTTGGAGCACTTAGGCCCCGGCTTCGAAGAAGCACTCTGACTCCTCCTTACGGGGGAGGCAGAGTGTTTTCTAGGTTGCCGTCCTGGATTGGACGGCGGTCTAGTGGGGGATTTGGAGGAGTGACAAACTCCGCCCTTCCCGGGGTCAGGCCGGGGAGGGGGGTCGGAGATGTCTTCCTCCATTGGTTGGTGGTGGGGTAGGGGGGTGTCTGCTGGAGAGGGAGCAGACGGAGGGAGCTGGGAAGAGGGGGAAGGGTGCACCTCACGCTCCATCAGAGGGATGAGGTGTGAGGTGGAAGAAGAAGAAGAAGGAGGAGGAGAAGAAGAAGAAGGAGAAGAAGAGGAAGAAGAAGAGGAAGAAGAAGAGGAAGTGATAGAGGAGGGGGGAGGGGGAGGAGAGAGGGCGGAGGGAGAATCCACCCTGTCCTCCCCTAGAACCTCAAAGCGGTTTGTCAGAGGTGTCTCGATGAAAGGAAGAACCTTTTTTGTTTTACTAGCAGAGACATGCCTGTTGACCGTGGGCTTTGGGAGGTCAGCAGTTGAAGGACTTGCGGACCTCGTGGCTTCCCGTGCTACCTTGGCGTATGACCGGCCAGGGATCGGGGTCACAACTGGCGGGCAGGTAGCTTTGCGGGCCTCCTGAAACGAGCAGCCATTTCGTACTTTATACTCTTGGATTGCGCGTTCTTGAATCCAAGTCGGGCAATCCTTACTAAAGGCTGTGTGCTGGCCGTGGCAATTGGGGCAACAAGGACTAGCCTTGCATTCCTTCTCAGGATGCCCGGTCTTGCCACAACGAGGACACACGGCTGCGTGTCGGCATCTCGACTGACTATGTCCGAACTTCTGACACTTGAAGCAGCGCAGAGGGTTCGGTACATAGGGTCGCACGTCTAAGACCAAGTACGATGCCCGAACGGTGGCTGGAGGGCGACACGAATCAAAGGTCAGGATGACCGTGTTGGTTTCGAGGGTGGTCTCCCCCCGTCGGAGAGTAATCCGGCGGGCTTCAATCACACCTTCGCAGTTCGCCACAATTTCCTCCATGCTGCAGCCCTTTAGTTCATGGCTGCGGACGACGCCCTTCGAGCAGTTCAACTTCTGGTATCGTTCGGAAGTACATGGAATACTGCCGAAGGTCGTGATGTTCAGAAGTTTGGCCACTTCAGTCTCTGTTGCGCACTTGACGAGGAGTACACCAGAGGACAGCTTCTGGACATTCGTAGGAATGTATCCCAGAACCTGTCTTAGTGCATCTCCCGTCTTGAACAAATTTAGATCAGTGATCTTCTTCTGTGCGTCTTCTTTGCAGCAGATGGCCACGTACGGCTGCTTCGGAAGCTCCCTGGGAGAAGGGAGAAAAGAGGCAGACGTAAAGGTCCTTTTTCCAGTTTTGGAGTTTTTGCTCGGCTCGGCGGCCGCACCCGCTTCCGCGAGCCGAGACTTTTTAACGTTGGGAGCTGGGGAAGGGTCTTTTTTTGATTTGGATTCCATGAGAGTTTTCTATTTTATTCGACTCCGGGGCTCCCCGCCCGCCACGGAGCCCAACAAGGGGACACATAGCTCGGATATCCAGAGCTGTGCCAGGGCTACCCCGGAGCTATACTCTCAACGAGAAAGTACAAGACCCTCCCGTCAAGATTGACCCAGGGCTTGATGGGGTTTCAGCTCTCAACCGGTTGAGTGGCATGGGCCGTGCCACCCTCCCGTCTAAGAGGAAAACCTGGGCCAAAGAGGTGTGTTGGTGAGGGACAGTCCGTGGACTGATCTCACCTCAACCGCCAGGTACCCGGTTTCCCTCCGCACGGGTTGCACCTCACGGTCAACAAGGCGCCCACTCTGTGGGATGGGTGACCTCTCTTTTTGCTGCACATGAGGTCAGCGGTGGCAGGAAAGACAGAAGAAGAAAGAAAGAAGGAAGGAGAAGAGGAAGATACACCAAAGTAGGTGTCGCATCCGGATCTCAGAGGATTGGGGTCCGAGTGCGACACCTCGCCTTTGAAGGGGTTGCACCTTCTGCAGACGAAGCAGTGGGTCTATTTATATCCCCCCGACCCACTGGGGGTGATCACCATGTGTGACTTTTTCTTGTGGGGATATGTAAAAGAGAGGGTTTATCTGATCCACCACTACTAAATAACCTCGTTGACCTTAAACATGGAAAAACAACAGCGATCAACTCACTGGGCAGTGATATGCCAAAATGCGTCAGGGGTAAATTTTCTTATCGCATTGAAGTTGCCCATGCTGCTGCTGGTGGCCACATTGAACACTTTTGTGAGACATGAAATAAAATTTCATTGCGACAGATGATTTAGCTTGAATTTTCTTATTAAAATATTGTATAATTATGAAATCGGTTCATTCTTTTTCAATCACCCTGTACAGCAGTCTCCACCTAAGATCCCATCGCTTACAATCCCGGTTAGCTTAAAAGATCTTACTGTTCTATGGAAATATAATATTTATTGGTTTTAGACATGTAGAGTGTGACAGGGGAAAAGCTTTTCCCACATGTTATCATGAATGTAACGAAAATGTGATTATGAGCTCAGATGACAAAGATTGCTCAAGAAGTCATGTTCAATTATAAGCCTTTAAAATATAATTAAAATTTAGTAATGAAAAACAAGATAATAACCAAAACCCCAGGAGGAACTAACCTGTGACGCAAACACAGCGCTTTTCTCCGACAGGCATACTGAATCAGTGGTTGTCAATAAAGATGAAATCAGATGCAATACTCAGAACTGGAAAAGTTGAACAGTCTCAAGCTTTCACTAAGTCTTTGGCCTGAAAATTACCTAGACGGAAATTATAATTTCAAATGTAAAAGAGTGCAGAATATAATGACATTTCAAAAGTCAAAATTATTTTCATACTGTTACCTACACAATCAATATTCTATACAGCATCATATAATAATTCTATATATAATGGCATCGAGTTACTTTCGGCCATTACGATTTAAATTTAACGTTAAATTTTTTTCAAATCAGTGATTATAAAAATCGCTATCATCAAGGGGAACCTAGAAATCGTGTTTTGGGGTCAAATTTTGAAAATTTGGTTTATTACATATATATATATATTATAGTACCTAAGCTGGACATTTCCTGGACAATATCCAAAAACGTATGAAAGCCTTGAGATACCCTAAACCTGTGTTTTTTTGTCAGGTTTTTCTGCAAAAGCACATGTTTTCTAGCTTTTTCTTTCCTGTATCGACTGTTATCTCACAATCTATTTTTTCACAAATCATCCCATTTTTCTACTCTGCTTCTTGTTCAATTTCAATGTAACTTTCACAGGATACCAACAACACAGATCTAGTTCTAAATTTTGGCATGTTGAATTTTTTTATTAATGGAGTAGTTTTTTATTTATGGGCTTAGAAACCATGAATTTTCCATTTTTTTCACTTTTTTTTGCAACATCCCAATACTAAGTGTCATGAAATAAAAACTATTTTCAAGCATATAAAAAATTCAACAAGCTAAATTTAAAAGCTACGTATCTACTGTAGGCATGCCACATTAGAAGTGAATCGGTTAATAAAATCAATATAAGGGAATAAAAGGGGATTGAAAAAGGTATACAAATTCTAATAAGGCCGCCGTTTCCTTAGCAGCAGATTCACAATATACTTTTTTAACTATTGATTTAAAATCCCCAATAACACACAATGTCCTACAGCAAATATGGGCACTCTAGGCCTTGTAATACTAATAGCCAAAATAGACTTCAGGTGCCCCACCAGCCCTTAATTATTAAATGTCTAGACTCTAGAGGCTGTCACATTCTAGAGTTCAAAACATCTAGAAGTAGCCTACAATATAATATATTAAATGATGTTCTGCTGCACATTCAAAACATTTTAGCTCATAATATTAGCCAGTCCTATAATATAATTTAATATTATGTTATAATGCTGCACGTTTAGAGTGAAAATGAGTGAAAATACGAAGAGGATAGAGGTGAATCCCAGGGGAGCTCGGCGGGCTGCTGAGTCACGCTAACTAAAAGTAACAGAATCAGGCGAAAAGTGAAGCCGTGCTATGATTTTATAACACTCAAAATCCGGTGGCAACCTCTTTGAAAAAGTGTAGACTTTGTGAGCAGTTACCCTACTTGTGTGAAAAACAATAAAAGCGAAACTAACAAACCGTGCTTTTTTCTTCTTATTCTTCTGGAGAAACAAAAGAGCCGCCTGGGACAAAACAAAGACTGCAGCACCATCTGAACCAATGTGCGGACTTCCGCGGACACTTTTTTGGCCGAGTGAACTATCTTACAGACTTTATGAGAACGATCTTTGACTTTAATATAATTGACAGTTATCGATGCAACCCATGTTTAGAGGGTTCCAGACTGCCGCAGCACTGCAACAGGGAACTGCGGAAAGGAACCCTGGAAGCCATTGAGGATAAAAGTTTCTCTACTTTAACTTCCAGACCATCAGGTAACCGTGCCGTACAATCCAGCAGGGTTGTATAGTGTGCACTGAAACCACCAGAAAACGACTCGACCCGATCGCATTAATGGGCACCCCCTATAAGATCTCAATACCCTGTACTTCACTTGCTCCCAAACACCGGGATCTTCTAGTTCTAGGCAAAGACAAGCATGGTGCTGTGTATTAAACCCTATTAAATGCTGAAAATGAGAAACTGCAGTCTACTGTAGTAGTATGACTATGACTAGACTTCTAGATCTAGATCTAGATCTATGATAAGACTTTTCTTGCCTAGCCTACTTAAAGTGGCAAACAGCAACACAGCAATTTAAAAACACGAACATTGATGATTGAAAATGTTGTAACTTAATTAAGGCCAAGATTCTAACTGTTGTCAGGGGCGGATGTTATCTTGAAATCTTACTAGACTTAGGAGGATTGGGTAACAGCACTTATCACTATCAGAAAAAAACAAAAAATAACATGTTGAATGATGTTGCGTTTCTGTGTAGCAGAACAAGCAATACACTGACACTGGATCTTTGAGGAGTTTGTGGGAGGTGGGGTTGCGAAAAGAAAACTGTCACAACTGTGACAAAAGGATCATTTTCTAGGCTAGAATCTAGATCTAGATCTAGATCTAGCTAAGCTTCAGTTTCAGACTCAAGTCGAGTAACAAACATTATAATATTCTGCAGAAACTTATAGATCTATCTTTAATGACTTTGAAGTTAACTTTTAAATTCTAGAGGAGAGTCTACCTTAACAATTTTAGACCGACAAACCTCTCTCTTGATATCAGATCAACACCAATTAATATTATAACACCGCACAAATAAGACGTTGGCCAACACTAACTCACAAGCGATCACCTCTTCGTGTCAACAGTCAACAGAAACCTTTAGTTGAGGTGAGTCGCGTTCAGCGTTCTGCCTGGCTTGGGAAGTCTGTTAGCCTAGATCAGGCTTGTCACTGAGACTGACAGAGACATTGTCACATTGTTATCAAACAAGAGGTAACGTTTGCATGACGTCTATATATACGAAAACAGAGAAAACTGAAAAACACTATTAATCCGTGCAAATTCGGTTGTCGAATATTGGTATAACCCAAGACTGAAGAATGGTCTTGGGTGTAACTTCAATTGTCTGATTGATTCCTTCATTATCCGTAGTGCTAGTAATAATTAGATCTATAATACGAAGTGGCTAACCGTACTTAGATGTTTGGCACTATATTGACCGAAACCTGTTGAATACACAGGTCTCATTAGATCTGGTATAATTATTATTCAGGTTTAAAATACATGCATGTCAGTAAGGCACTTATTTTTGGTTTCGTCTAAAATACTAATACTTTAGGTATTGCAAATTAAAATTCAATTTACATTTCAGCCATCATTATTAAGTACGGCTAGCCTGACAGTCTAGCAGGGCTAGCCAAGCAGTCTAGCCGGCTAGCTGTAAGTATATTTATTTTAGACCCAGTATTAGAAACCTGTTGAGCACACAGGTCTCATTAGTAATTATTCAGGTTTAAAATATGCACTGTCAGTAAGGCACCTGGTTTCGTCTCAAATAAGCTACAAATACGTTAGGTATTGCAAACTGAAAATGTGTTTACAATTCAGTAGGCCTTTGTTTTTCTGTTTGTCCTAGTCATCATAAGTACGGCGCTAGCCCAGCCGTCTATATATAGCCGTCATTAAGTACGGCCTCTTATAATTAAATGTTATATTATGTATAACTAGATATGCCTAGGCTATTGCATGTAGGTTGTTTTTTTACTCCTGCACCCGTGTACACGTTTTATATACTTTTTTTCCCCCTTCTTTTAATACATGTATTTTGCATGCTGAACACGAATTTAATATCGTTTTTACCGCAAATCAAGTTATTGAGCTATTGATGTTTGAAAACAGAACTATATTACAATAGGACCAATGGTGTAATAATATAATATATGCCTTGTTTTTAACAACATGCGTGGGGTTTCAAGGGGCCTGGCCTAAAAAGAATCGGGGAGTGTGTGTGTGTGTGTGTGTGTGTGTGTGTGTGTGTGTGTGTGTGTGTGTGTGTGTGTGTGTGTGCATTTCACCATGATTTTATCCAAGTATCCTAAAATTATCAAACATACCAAATTATAAAGATAATCTTTCAAGACACTAAAAGATTTAATTATTAAAAGAAATTATGGTGAAAAATGTATTTTTTAAAACTGAATTTTAAGATATATGACTGCATGATTCTAGACGTGTGCCTATTATTAGCTTTATGTGTAAGGAACAACGAACACAGAAGAGGGTCGATGCCAATAATTCCAATTATGAAAAAGAGATAACAGCACCTTTGGACTTTTCATGAGATCAAAACTTACTATAATTGATGCAGCCGTTCATTATAGTGATGGGCAATCATGTTGACATAATATTATTCTACATGCCTCCCTGATAATTTGATGGACATGGGTATGAGTACCGTATGAGGCGGCCTTGATGGCTCTACCTAACGAATCATGCCGTGGCTGTAAGCTCAGGCGATATATATATAAAGGCTCTTATATTGCGAGTTCGATGTTCGGCAAAATCAAAGGCGTCGATGAAGAGTTCACACCTGGGCGTGATCCCTTTGTCGTAAAATCCTTGCGTCTGGAGCAAACTTATTCATGTACCTCGTATCGAGATTTAGAGGGGAGATTGTGATCCCATGCATGAGCACGGATGACCTGAGAAGGTTTTTTTTTTTTTTTTGTTCAGTAAAGTACGATAGGGGAAGCAGCGTTTTTAGTCCCTTCACACTTTAGAGGGGGGATTTATCTTAGGGATGACTAGTGTAGTAAAATTTGTTGTTGCTTTGTTTGGATTATTTTTTAACAGTGGAATCTTAAGTGAACCGGAATTATAAATTGTGTGACCTCAGGTGAAGACTACAACAATAGATTTAGACCCAAACCGAGTATAGTTCTGTCAGACAAGACTCAAACTCTTATCCACCCACCCTACCCCCTCCCCTTATCTGATATGGTTTGGCGTTCCTTTAACATAGAATATATTCATCATTATTGTTGTGGTGTATTGATTTCATATTTTGATGGAGCCTCTCGGTATCTACATTTAGACATCATTAGTCTTATAGTAATAGGAGATGAATGGGCTTAAAAACATAAAACAAGTCTGACTGACTGATTGAACTCAATACGATAAGGTGTGTTATATATGATTAGTAAATATATGAAAACAATATATTGAAACCTAGATTTTGTCTCGTCAAAATAAAGGTCTAGCGCATATAGCATCTAATTTACACACCAATGGACAGCAATATAATATACTTTAATTAAACTGCTTAATATGTATATATACATACACACACACGTGCACAAACACACACACAAACACACACACACACACACACACACACACACACACACACACACACACACACATAAGAATAAGAATATTTTAAAAAAATCAAGTATCTCTGTCTTTCTTCTGGGGTGTTGTTACAGTGTATCCATTTCTGCCCGGGTTAGCTTTGGCAGGTAGCGCCGGAGCCAGCCTCTTATAAATGTTAATGATCTAAATTGTGTCGCTGGGGCGGGCATAAAAACACTTTCATTCAGACTTTTTAAAAAGGAAAACAACACCTGTGGAAACTTCTGTCCACTGCAGCATCATCGGTTCAGACCGGTTCTTATACTTAAACACAACACAGGTGGAAGGCATTTTGACTAATTGACTTGCCTATTCTCGGAATAAAACCTTCTTTCCTATCTAGATTTCAGTGCGTGAGCGCAGCACAGGTAGACCATAGTTCCGCTGCGAGAGAGGGCTCCTATTAGGCGTACGGTGCCGCCCACAGAGCATCCCCCATTACTGTAAACTCCTTGATGGGCCCCATGGGCCCCCACCTAGGCCTTCTCAGGCTCCCACACAGCCATCATAGTACTAGTGGAGAATCTTTGGCCATAGTGAGTTTACGAGGGTGACGTCACAGCTGCGACCTCTAGGACTATTATAACTTATAACCTCTTTGACTATAAAAAAACGAAGTGGCTAGCCGTACTTAAGTACGGCTAGACTGAGAGTCTAGCCGTACTTAAGTACGGCTAGACTGCCAGTCTAGCCGTACTTAGATCTAGGTTTGGCCCAATCGACTAAAACCTGTTAAGTACACAGGTCTCATTAGATCTAGATCTAGTAATTATTCAGGTTCAAATACATGCAAGTCAGTAAGGCACCTTTTGGTTTTGTCTGAAATACAAATACTTTTGGCATTGCAAACTAAAAATTTCATTTACAATTCAGCCATCAATATTAAGTACGGCTAGCCTGACAGTCTAGCCGTCCTTAAGTACGGCTAGCCTGACTGTCTACCCGTACTTAAGTACGGCTAGACTGCCAGTCTAGCCGTACTTAACTTAGGCCCTATTAACATTAGAAAACAGGAGGTTTAAAATACATACACTGTCATTAAGGCACCTGGTTTCGTCTCAAATACAAATGCTTTAGGTACTGCACACTAAAAATGTATATTTACAATTCAGTAGGCCTATTTTTTGTAAATGGTCAGTCTAGCCATTAGCCATCATATTAAAAATAAGTACGGCTAGACTGCGAGTCTAGCCGTACTTAAGTACGGCTAGACATTTAGTCTAGCCGTCATTAAGTACGGCTAGCCTCTTCCATAAAAAAAGCAACACAGCTGAGTGAACGTCGTAAACTGTTATAGATTCATAGATAAACACTCTTTCACTTCAATTTAATGAGTACAATCTTTATCATGTTTGTAGAACACCCCTCTAGGCCCTAAAGATGTTTATTTAGGCTAGTACGTCGTGTCTACTTTCCCAAGTTTACGACATTAATTCATGTGACTCAATAAATGTTCCTCCAATAACAAAAGAGCGGTAGGCCTAGTTAATAAACTCGAGCTTGACAGGGAAATAAACAGTCCTGGGACAGAAAAACCGATCCACATCCTAGTCCTACACATCGTTTTGATAGATCTATACAAAGCCACAATGAACGTAATATTAGCTGTAAAGCAGTATATTAGCAAGATGATAGAAGGCTGTGGAGGAGGAATGAAAGTGTTGCTTATGGATAAAGAAACGGTTTGTATTATATAGAGTGTCTTGTCCAACTGTAAAATGATCCTTCTTGAACTTGAAGTCGAAGTTGACTTCTTACTTTTCTTCTCTAGTCTACCTCTACTGTACTTAGGCCTACTGTTTATGATTTATCGGTTGGTAGGCGCTCTTTGGAAATTGCTTTCCCGTTCCAATTGATAATTTGCCATGTAAAATGTAAACGTGAAGATTGTGGGTTTTTTTAGGAAGTGGCTATTCTCACCCGGGGTGAGAATAGAAATACGATCGACCTCTCACCCCGGGTGAGACTTTCCACCGTAGGCTATTCTCACCCGGTGTGAAACAAGACCCGTTTTTCCTAATTTCGGAATACTTTCTATCGATGTGAATGATCAAATGGATAAAGACAAAGAAAAGTTTACGTTATAGCACAAAAGTAAGCTAATTTTATCGACTACAAAGATGCTATGGCTATTTCACTTTTCGAATCAAGCCGAACTACGGGGGTCGCCATTTTGTTTTGCCCGGAAGTTCTCGCAAGATCTACTCCTCCCCTCTTCTCTTTCTCTGTCTCTTTCTGAATACTGTCTATCGATGTGGACGATCAAATTGACTAAAACAAAGCTAAAAAATGATGGTAAAACACAAAAAAATAAATCAATTTGGTCGTCTACAAAGATGCTACGGCTATTTAACTTTTCGAATCGAGCCGAACTACGCGGGTCGCCATTTTGTTTTGCCCGGAAGTTCTCGCGCTACTCCTCCTCTCTCTTTCTCTCTCTCTTTCTCTCCACTGCCCACAGACAAAATTGTACGCTTTTAGTAGGCTAACAGTAGTAATGGAACGTTTGTTCACGGCACAATTTTTCTGTTATCACAGTGCAGAATTCTGTGGTTTAGGAGGGTGAACGCAAAATTTAATTGGTTGGCCTAGATCTAGGCTATAACGGTGAACGCGCACTGGGTGAGAATAGCCAAAAGACTCGCCTGCACTATTCTCACCCGGGGTCCACCAAAGTTCAGTCCGGCCAAAATAAATTTTTAATACAAAAAAGGCAGAAAAATATTACTGTCTAATGATTGTGGTATGGTTCACTTAGCCTCCAACATCAACTACATTGCCACTTTTGTCCTTAGCAATCACTTGTAACTGTTTCTTATGTAAGCAAACAGGAAGGCAATTTCCAAAGAGTCCCGGTTGGCAGTAAGTGAGTGTTCGGCCCCCAAGAGCGATTGTACAAACAATCATGTCGGCTTGTGAATACTCTCACAATCTCGAAAGTGGCTGTGTCTCAGGTCTCAAGGTAACGAGTGGCCCAAGGATTTTGTTCGGCCAATTTAAGAATAGAATCTGATCCAGCATCACTCATCATATTCAGTCTACTATACCTGGTCTCTACTTTTCTGCTAAGATTGTAAATTATCTGATGCCGATGCTTGTGTGTTGATGAGAAAAAAATGCTGTCCTCCATCTCGTTTCTTTTGACTTTTAAAAATCTTGATACTGCAGGATTGTATGAAAGATGCTATTGGTAGTATATTAAAAATTGAGGAAATTAGAAAGAAAATCATGGCAAAGTACTCCATCAGTTAATTAAACAAAATATAGAGCCTCTATCTGAGAAGAGTAGAGTGTAAAATAGTAATTATGGCAGTGGTATGTTACACCTGAGCTCCCCACAGTCAACCAAGCTACATAAAAATAACAATGTCAGTATAGACTTTTAATTATATTTATTAAGTTATAAAGTAGACCTGAGCAAACATTTTGACAGAAACGAATTGAGAGTCAAAATTAGAGACACTTGTCAATGTCATTTTGACGTAACAACTCAGCTTAGAAACTTCCTGCTTGATGACAAAATAGTGAGCGCCCCTCTCATTTATAATTTTAAAAAGTATGTGTGCCTGTCCAGGGTTTATAGTGATTATCTTTGTGTTTGAAATCTCTGTTTACGCTGCAACAATTACTTCTCTTACAATTTTTTGCAAGTCTTGTTTCATTTTTGTGTATTGATTATTTTTAGTCCCGTCCCACCTAATCATGCTATTGACAGAGATGCAAGTACAGTGTACAGTGAGTCTCCGTTTAAGAACGTGTCCTTTGGGAAACCAAAACAAAGCGGGTTCTTGGATAGATTTACAGGTTTTATTTTTAATCTTACTTTGTCATTGTGTCTAGTGATTTTGTTCTGTCGTTTCTGTCATGTTTGTTATTTCCTGGCATTGCATAACTGAAACTAAAACTAGCTGACGCTGTCGTTGATTTATAGCAAAATGTAGCCTTGAACAGACTTCACACTTATTCATAAAAACACTCTCTCCCCAGTATAAATAGATATGCTGAACCATATATATATATAATTATATATTATAGTAAATTGTAATAGCCTGAGTCACTTGCTGAATATTTCATAATTTTCTTTGCTGCTTTTTTATCTTTCAGACAAGCATAGTGAGTATGGTATATGCACAGTCAGAAATTTTACAGAAAGAAGTGTACTTGTTTGAGAGAATTGACACAGCTGGCAGAGAGACGATGAAGCATCTCAATTGTATTGCCTTTTTGAGACCCACGAAGGAGAATGTTGATTTGCTTGCCCAGGAGCTTCGTATGCCTAAATATGGCTTATATTTCATTTGTAAGTATGTTATTCTCCTTATATTATATAAAAATACTTTTTATAAAAGAGTAATAATGTCTGTGATGAATCAGGTGGAAAACACTAATCATCATATTTGTAACATGAGGATTATATGATTAGGTCCACTCTCAAACACATTGATACAAGTTATTATATGGGAATTGATATTTTGTGTTGTTTCAGTTGATGAGTAAGGCTAGTGAAGCAATATGGCTGTTTTATAATGGATATTTGGAAGCCTTTTTTACATTGAAAGAATAAAAAGTGGCCTGCAATTTACTTTGAACAAAAATATTGTGTTTTGTGACTTAATCACACATTATTACTTGTGTATTAATTTACATGCAATGGATATTTATGGTGATGGCCCTGTAAATGTGTATACAGTATTACAAGTAAAAATAAAAAGGACCCAATTAAAGGCCAATAACTTAATGATCATGACACCATTTTCAACAAAAACTTTGAAGAAATAAAAATTAACCAGGGGGACCTTATATTTCTGAGTATGAAATAAATGAACTACTATGTTAAGAAAAACAACCCATTAAATACATTTCCACCAAATTGAGTGAAACGCAAAACTTTGCAACTTTAAAAAAATCAACCCCACTGTCTATTTCAAAGAGTCATTATTTCTGCATTAAAGGACAAATTTATACAAAAATTATATTGCCAAGTAAACTCAGGGAGATGGCTATTAAATCTCCAGGTGTTGACCATTTCTCCAATAAGCCCCCTGGAAATTTTAAATAACTCCATGACTCGTTTTTGCGTTGGACGTCCTGTTCTACAATGAGTTTCAATTGTTCATTCATTTGTGGCTTGTTTCCGTAAACTCTGTCTGTCAAAAAACCTCAAAGGTAGTAATTATAAGGGCTCAAGTTTTGGAGAATGTGGTGACCGTTCATTTGTAAACTTACGGCTTATCAAGCGTTCCCCTAACTTTTCTTGCAACTATACAAGGGCCACTCATGACATTTAGGATGTGGACCCATCCCACTGGAACCAGACCTCTATAGCGTAACACCTTCTCCTCCTCAAACTTCTCAAAAATCTCTCAGCATGGTGAGATATCCATCTGATGTGACTGTCATGGTTTTACGGTCTTTTTCCTGAAATAGAATGGGTTGATCACATCCCTAGTGCTGAACACCTTTAAAAAGCAAAATTTTGTGTTTTACACAATTTTGGTTGAAATGTTAAAAAACTATATTTATCGAAGGTGGCAATGGATTTTTGTCATATTTACGAACTTGATGTCCCCTCGGTTGAAATTTATTTGTTCGAAGTTTTGTTAAAATATGTGCACTGATGACCGAGTTATTGTCATTTAAGTGGGTCCTCTTTTTTTAGATAGCATGTACTTTATATTGTCTTTCGCAGTTTGTAATGTTATCCCGTACTAATTGTAATTTCATACTTTTTGTCAGACTTCAGCAATGTGATTAGCAAACAAGATATCAAAGTTCTTGCTGAGGCTGATGATCAAGAAGTTGTGAGGGAAGTGCAGGTAATGTGTACATCATGAGATCAGTATATTATATAGGTGTTTTGTGAGTTAGATGGGTCTGGCTTTGGTTTACTGCTTTAACAATTTAATTAACTATGGTCATGTATTTTTGTCTATTGCCTTTTGTTTTCTGTAAACATATATTCATAAACCTGAACTATTATGTACTGATTTGTGATTAGTTACTTAAAATCCCAAAATATTATACTGAACTAGTTTTTCCTTTTATTAGACATAAATGCTATAGATTACGCGAGCTGATTAAAAAAAAAATTGAAAACTTTTTTTCCCCAGGAGTTTTATGGAGACTACATAGCTGTCAATCCACATTTGTTTTCCTTAAATCTTGTGGGATGTTGTCAGGTAAGGTATTTGTAAAATACAGCTGCTGAATAAATTAAAAATCTGCTATTGAAACAGAAAGTAAAATTTGTAATTGCAATTTTACACCACAAGATTATGATAAAAGAATGTTGAAGGTACGGAAATATGCATGTTTGCTTTCTTTGTCATGAAGATTTTGAAATACTTGTTTCAACATATTTTAAAAATATCTAATAACCTATTTCAAGGTTGTTGTCCGAGTTAAGTGATATTTTTGTACATAGATGTTTTATTTTATGTAACTCTATCCGTACGCCCTGGGGTCTTTTTGTATCCTGGGGTTGTATTCTTCATATTTTCGAATACTTCTACTACAAAGATCTCTTTGAAACTTTCAGTATTTCTCAAAAAATCATTTGACAGACTGCATGCTATGCAAAGTGTATGGATCGGATTAACGAGTAAATTTTCTCTTTGGAAAGTCGTGGCACAGAGTTCCCCATGTTGTATGGATACAATAGTAAAACACGACTACGACATTCGGATAGGATTAAATTATGAATTAAAGAAGCAATTTCTGTCTTTGTATTATATGATATTGATGTTGATTTTTAAATTTATTTTCATAATAATTCTTGTCTGGAGATTTTAGAAGTAATACGGTACCTTGGTAACTATTGTTTAGTCCAGTCACATGGATGTAAAGCAATGTTTATAATATTGTATTTATTTGTTTGTTTGCTTTTGCACAGAAAACCTAAGTTCAATTCCCATGTGGCGAAGTTAATTTCTTTGAGTATATCTGTCTTTCTGCTGGGATGCTGTGTCCTACTCAGCCTGGGTTGGCCCTGACAGGCATGGTCAAAGCAACCTGCCTCTTTAATGATCTAAATTGTGTTGATAAGGGCATTAACACATTCAGATTCACTTCTGTGTTAATTGTGGATTTTTTTTCATGTGATTGGAAAGTATAAAAGGACTGGATGAGGAAAGTTGGTTATGTTTACTAAAATCTTGACTAGAGGAGTGCAATGTAAAGGGAAACTAGTGAAGTACATTGAAGTAAAATATGTTGCTTAAGTTCACCCTAATTGTGGTATGTAATTTTTTGGGGGGCTTAAACATTTTTTTTAGAATGACTCTTTTTTGAAATACTGATCTGAAAGGATGATTATTGTCTGTTTCAGAACTTCAGCTGGTTTCCTCCAGTTTTGTCTCGCACCATTCAGGGCTTGACCTCTGTACTGCTTTCCCTGAAAAAATGCCCAATGATTCGGTACCAGAACTCGTCTGAAATGGCACGCAGACTGGCTGACAGTGTCAGGGTGAGTGTGTTGTTTTTCTGTGCTCTCATCATGGCCTGATGAAAGTAATATGAATGAAAATTGAAATGTTTTCTATCTGAATCCTGGCAAGTTCATAAATGGAACAAACTTCAACAAAGAAATAACAAATACTGGTTACAAGGGGTATAGTGAGTGGCCAAAAACTGATTGGTGAGATCTGTAAATTAAAATAAAATCAACACTTGTCAAATGAAATTTGAACAATAAATTGATAGGAAACTGAATTGTCTCAATGGAGCAAACATGACACATTACAGTGACAAAAATGCATTAAATTTAGAAGTAACCATTCTAATCAACAGTTATAAAATGGTCTTTTGATTTCCTCAAATACTCTTGTGCTACTTCTTTTGTAGATCATAGCAAAGAAAAAGGTTTTTCGATATGCAGCCAAACTCTGGAACCACTTTTGATTTCTTATTTCCAGCAAGTGATCAGCAAGGAGGCAGCCCTGTTTGAGTTTAGAAAAACAGATGTGCCCCCAGTTCTCCTTATCCTGGACCGAAGAGATGATGCAGTGACACCGCTCTTGAACCAAGTTTGTAATAATGGCATTTTAGCTATTATAATTTTTTTTAGCTCAGAGGGGGAAGGGGAGATTGTTAGTTTTGTGTTTATGTAATTGAAGGGAGGGATGAATGGGTTACAAGAACTCAGCTAGTTTTCTATTCTGTTAAGTATGGACACTGCAGGGAAACCATTTTAGTTTCTAAAGATTATATTATGGGCTATTTTGTCTCTTGCTTTTAAAGTAAAACAGGTCTGACTTTGGGTTTTTTTGTTATTGAAATCATTCCTCTGGTAGTGTTTAGCCTTCCTAAAGAACACTGCCCCTCAAATGTGTATTTGTTATGATTTTGGTTGAGGGAATCTTTTCACTGTTTTGTTTTTCCTCTTTACACTTTGCTATCATATTTTGGGGAAAATCCAAAGGAACTGAGTGGTAAACATCACCAATCGGTGAGATGAGGTGGCAAAGCTTTAAGCTTTTACCTAACATTGAAAACCTAACACAAAGAGTCTTTGTTTTTAAATGTAGTATTTTTTTTAAACCATGAGTTTCTGCTCTCTCACATTTGCACAACTTCCAGAGAAGTAAGCTGAAAATGGCCACTAAATAAACAGTTTTGAATAGATGTTGATGAAACTTACACATTATATAGTGTCAGCAGTTACAGATATCCCTTGCTTTAAAGAGTTCTGGTCAAGAGAATGCCTCCTTCCCATCAATGACTTCTATAATGAGAAAATTTCCTTGGGATTCCTTCATTTTACCCGTAAAAGTAAAAGTCATTAGACTTTGACTCCATGCTCTTCTTTTCTTTGAGTGTTTCTATAGTTATGCAACGTTACAGATGCAAACGCTCTGATACCTTAGCAAAGAGTAGTGTGTTAAGTCTTTTATACTCTGTTTGCAGATTGTAAAAGGTTGTGACCATTTTCATATTACTTTTCGGACTACCTTCATAATGTTCATATGTGTGGCATTGTCAAAATAATGAAATTGAAGAAACCAACATTTTTCCATCCTTTCGTCAATTGGTATTGAATGTTTTTGGGGAGCTCAGCACCTTTGAAGTCCACTTAAAAACACGTTTCTGTTTGGCATGAACCGAAAACTGACAAACGCCTGTTTCCCCTGTGTCGTGACACATATTTTATTTTTTCAAAGTTTGTTTGACAATTGTTTTATATTCATCCAAATGACAATGAGTTTGAGCTGTCAGTTTATGTGTATGATCAAGTTATGAATGTGACAGCTACATAATATATTTTTTTTTCACAATCAAGTGTAGTAGTGGTTAGAGCAGGCAGTGGCGGTAGGTAGTGAAGGGCTAACGCGCTTGAATAACAAAAAAGCAGTTGACACCGTTATAATCGCACACAATGAACACACAGTGATCAACTTGGCAGCTTTGCTCGTTTATCCAATCACTGTTGTCTCCATTTACAACTATAGTAACCTAACAGCCAATCAAATGTCTCTTGGGCTCAGCACTGGATGAGCCCGTTCCTACAGACCTTCCGTAATGAAACTCTTCTTGTAAAAAGGTAGAAGGTTAAAAAAAAAGAGCACTGTACTTCGGGCTCACGCTCTCCTAGCCCTGACAATTGGGGGAAAGTTTACGACACACTTTCCCCCTGGTGACACAGATACCTTCCCTCTCATTGGACCTTTGTTTGGTTTCCGCAACTACACGGCCTAATCCAGCTCATAGACAGTATATGTTTGAAGTGCTATGTGTGCGTGTTTGTGATTGTAACGCTGAAATTTAACAGTTATAAATCCTGTCAAAACACTTTCAAGACAACTTTTTCATCAGGGGAAAATTAAATAAAGGAAATTTGGAGGAGAAACGGCTTTGTCCCCAATATTTATAAGAATTTAACTTAGAACAAAGAGATGGAAGACAAAGGTGACTCTTCTCGTTTGAATAGTTCTTGAAATGCCGTAGCTCGCTGTGAATATAGAAAAATCACCACTGTTTTGTTCTTACTTCTTGCTATTTGGTGGTAAAGAAATGGAAACAACGTTAGCCCCACCCAAATTTTGGTCCACCCCCCGCCACTGAGAGCAGGCTGCTGGTCGCTCATACTCTCCAGTTATGTGAGACGTCATTTTGTCAGTTTACCTCTGCATGAATAATGCTTAACCTATATAACTTTATTGCATTTCAGCTGTTTGGAAAACCTTTGCTGCATACTTTCAAGAGACTAGGATTATTGATTAATGGCTAATATTTCCTTCTTGTTCTTCTGTCACCAGTGGACATACCAAGCAATGGTGCACGAACTTCTCAGCATCAACAACAACCGCATCAATCTGTCCACGGTGCCTGGAATCTCAAAAGATCTTCAGGAGGTGGTCTTGTCAGCAGAGCATGATGAGTTTTATGCAAATGTGAGTTAGTGTTTATGAAAATGTCATTTGACCAACCTAATTGATCTCCCCATGAGCAACTTATCTTGCCTGTATACAGCGATCTGTTATTATGTTCATTGTATTGTGTATTTTTATGAGTGGGGTGTAATCTTCATAATGCTCAAAAACATGGGAAGCTATAGTTTACTTTTACCCATTTTGATGCATGTGACTCATTTGGTCACAATGTTTAACATCATGCCATTTTCTTTAATGTATGTAGTTCAGTGATTTTAGGGTAAAAGTTTGAATCATATTGATGAAAAAACTTGTAAAAAATTAAGTTTCAATTGAGAAAAGGGAAGTAAAAGTTTGGAAAATTCTTTGTTTAATGGTCAGTATCATCTTTCACAGTTAGGGCTTGGTAAGCAGGAAAAATAATTGAATTTGGGCTAAAATCAGATTTTCAGTGATGTACATGTGTTTAGTTGTGTGTTATTATATGTTCAGTGATATGATATCCTGATGAAATTATGTATGATGTTTTCCATTTTAACAGAGTTTCCCCACAGAGGCACCTTTACTTCTTTGATATAGAATGACTTTAGACTTAAAGGTTTAGTGTTAGTTAACATTAAGCATTACAAAGATTTGGTTCCTCTCGTTCCAGAACATGTACATGAACTTTGGAGAAATTGGTTCCAACATCAAAGAACTGATGGAGGAATTTCAGAAAAAGTCAAAGAGCCATGCCAAAGTGGAGTCAATTGCTGACATGAAAGTAAGTTGCAATGTTGTTGTTTTTGTTGTTGCTATAGATCCGACACTTTTTTTTGCTTTTGGTCCAAGCACCCTACCAGAGCCATTACATAGTTGTTGCTTTTTTGTCCCATGTCCTGATTTTGGTGCAGATATTTTTAGGTTACGTAACAATATATTGGCATGGTGCAAATTGTTATGTTTCAAGAAAAAATTCCCAAGGAAAACACACCAAAAAAAAAGAGGAATTGTTTAGTCAGTGATGATGATGATGATGCTCTAATGTTAGAAATAATGTGCATGTTAATCCTAGTGTTAAGTGTATTTCACTTTTTATTTGGCGCTTACTCTGGATCCCCTTCAGGCTGTCCTGGTGGGCAGGACACAACCCTCATTCCCAACTCCTCGCATAGAGTGACCAGAAATTTGGAAATAATTCGTCATCTTCATCCCTAGCATTTAATAAAAGTATGCCGTCATGACATAGTTATATACTGGTTTTCTTTAACTGCTTTGTTGTCAAAAAGAGTGTTTAATCTCAGAGGTAGAAGTGTTTTGTTAAAAAAATCATGGAGTGCATGACAGGGAAAAGTTGAAATTTCACTGCTGGGTGCTGTGTTGGAACGCGTAGTTCAGTTCTGTTGAGATGGAAATTCAGCAGAATGTATTTGTGTGTTCTTTTTTATTTTTGTTAGATACTTATTGTCAACATCCTGGTGTGTAGGAGTCATTTGGTTAAAGACAGCTTGCCTATGTCCGCCCAAAATCCAGTCCTGTTTGATATCAGATCTGTTTTGTTAATCTATGTTTGAAAGTGGTGAATTGTACCCGGAGAATTTCTTCCTCTTATACTTAATTTTTATTTTATTGTCTAAGACATTGGTGGTTGACAACATGTTTAAAATGTTCTGTTTTGTATAATGTTCTGAGTATTAAGTCTTTTATATTTCAAAGTTTGTTTACACCAAAAGAATCATCAAAGGGGCGTCCCTTTAATTCGATAGAAACCTCTTTGTGTACAGTTATAAGATGTTTGATGGCAAATAAAAACCCACTGTGTGATATGATTGTATAAGTATAAGGTGTTCAGGTTTTTTTTTTTTTTTTTACTTTGTAATACTATGTTATGAAGACCTTGAATTTTCTCTGCTGACTATTGCAGAAAAATATATCCTCAGGTTTAAAAAAATGTTGCAATAAATGACAATAATGTTTCCCCCAGTATCCTTTTTCAAATGACTTGGGGAACTCTTCACCTTAACTAAAAATTACTCTCAGTTCGAAGAGATGTTGCTACATATTATGACAATAGTAGGTACTTTCTTCCACTGTATTATATTTTTACTGATATTATGGCATGTGCATGTAAAAAAAATCAAATTGACAAATATTTTTTGTTTTATGGTATGTTTTAGTGCTGAGAGTTCGTATTTGGGCTCTAGTTAGATGATCTGTGCCAATAAAAAAAAGAAAATCTTGTTTTTGTATATAAATAAAAGGCCAAAAATGGTAGCCATTAAAAAATTTTTTTTCTGTGTGTTTTTTTTTTTACCTAAGACTTTTTTGTTGTTAACCAAATGAGTGGAAACATTGCAGTCGGACAATACAAGAAAATCTTTGCGTGAAGGGTCTTTTTGATTGAATAGTCTCTTGAGTTTTATACCATTATGAAATAATTAAAATCTACATTTGCCCAAACATTGGTTGTTTTTTTTAACCACACATGCCCTTAATGTACTCCACAGGCTTTTGTAGAAAATTACCCTCAGTTCAAAAAGATGTCAGGCACTGTTTCAAAACATGTGACAATAGTCGGAGAACTCTCCCGGTTAGTGGGAGCTCACTTGCTACTTGAAGTGTCTGAGACAGAACAGGAGATTGCATGCCATGGAGACCATTCCCCTCTCCTTCAGGTACATTCTGGCGTTTTCTCTGATTTGTTCTCCACTGTTATTCCTTTATTTCCACCTCTCAAGCAATACAGATTTTCTTTTTGCTCAGTTTTATCAGCAACTTGTCCAATGTTTGTTTTTGAAATTTCGTTTTAAATTTAAGAGAAATTGCCTTGCTTTATGTAATTGCTCTAGACAGTGGCTAAAGATTCACCTGAAGTCTGATCATATTTATACATTTTGGAAGAGTAAATTGAGATTATTTTCTGTCTTTTATGGTTGCGGCAGAATCATCAGAGTTCATGATAATAATTGCTGAGCTTATCTTTGCTTTTATAACGGACTTTACCGTTTAGCAGATTTTACTTGTTGTATGGTGGTCTTTTTCAGGTGTCATTGATAATGTCAAGGATATGAGAAAGTTTTTTTCGTATCTGAGACAGCTGCTGTTGAAATGTGGTTAAACGTTGTTGAAAAGTTCTTCATATCTTCCTTATTGCTTCTCTCTGCTTTCCTACCCTGTCTGATATTGTTAGAGCACTCTGATGTCTCCAACATGAGAAACATCAAATGCCGGATTCAAGTACATTTTCTCCATCAAAGTGGTAACAATGTTGTTGTTTGGTTTTCTCGTTAAGTATTGACAGCAATGAAGTTGTTGACCTCTACACCAAAAGTTGTAAAACTTCCCCATTACAGGGAAATTTTATTCTCTAACTAAAACGAAAAGTAAAACATTATCGTTTCAGGCTGTGGACTAGAGATAATCAGTATAATTGGGATAGGCAAGCCCCCACTCCCCACCCCCTCGTGATAACAATATTTTTATTTATATTGCTATAAGATTTTTAAAATGTTCTTTCAGCGCATTCGAGCATTGCTGGCTAGTGACAAAGTTCGACACATAGACATGCTTCGCCTGGTGATGCTGTATGCCCTGCGCTATGAGAGCCACAGTAACAATGATGTCTCTGGCTTGGTGGATGCCCTTAGACAGAAAGGTCTCTCAGCTGAGCACAGAGCTGTACGTATGAATGCAAAAGACTATAAAATATGTAACATCTCATCTGTTGTTGTCATTGTATAGATTTAAGGTCCCTTACAACATTGTAACATTATTTGAAAGGGGAGATCTCTAAATATAACTTCCATCTCCAATAGGATCAAGCCAAATATTTTGCTGAACAAAAAAATCACAGAAAATGGCTAAAATTCATTGATTCATAATTTGTGTTCCTGTTTGTTTTTTTATAGCCCTTGAAAAACTTTCTTTTTATATTGAATTTCAAGAATATTCGCCCAAAGTAACACACTGAACATGGATAGCATAGTAGGAGGTCTTATTTATTCTCTCTCCCTGTGTCATTTATATCAGTCTAGCTATGTTCTTATAATAGATGGCCATTGTCCTGTCAAAATGTTTCGCTCTATTCAAAGTAAGGTTCACCTACACATACTTGATGGCTTGTCAAAGATCCTTGATAGGTTGTGTATAGCTGAATAACAGTTTTTTAAATCTACAGAGGAAGGAGCTTCAATTGCATAATTTCTATCATTGGACATGCAAGAAGCTGTTTACTGTGTAAAGTTTTCTAAATATTTGTGAATAGTCTTGCAAGCAAATGTCCATCGCTGTAACTTTCTTCAACGGAGGCTAGAAGTGCTTTTGGAGATCTCATTTTCTGTGTCCTCTTTCTGTAGTGTTGTCTTTTATCCCCAGTAACTTTCTGATTGGTAAGGGTAAAAAAGACAGACATGCCGCTCTGTAGATTGGGGGGACAGATAAGAGATGATTTATCTTTATCTAACTCTCGTGGTTCCTCTTTCACCTTTTCCTTTTTCCCCCTTTTTTTCTCTCTGCAACCCCCCTCCCTCCCACCCCCCCACCCCCTTACCTCTTTCTGTCTGTCTGTCACATACACCATACTTTTGTTGCTGTTGTTGCTAAAAAGAATTGATATACAGTTTCTTGTTTTCAAATTTGCACATTTTTGTCTTCCTCATATATTCTTAAGATGGTTCAGTCTATCTTAGACTATGGTGGAAAGAAGGCTCGAGGCAGTGATCTGTTTGGGAACCAGGATGCTGTAGCTATCACCAAGAGACTGCTGAAAGGCCTGAAGGTAACACCATTTTTCAGATTTTTTGTTCTATCGTTACATCTAGTGCAAAATGTTTTTGACATGAGGGTTACGAAGTATGAGTTGTGTGCTAGTGCTGCAGGGGTTTTTCAGGTTTCAGTAGTGCTCAAAAAAAGTTATTATACACAATATATAAATATTTTGAAGTGGCAATGTCGGGGATAACACAATTTTTAATAATTTTTTTGTGGCCAATTTGTAATAAAATTATCTAACGGAAAACTGTCCTGTATGGAGTGTTCATATGACTTCTTCTATGTGTTACAGAACATTTTCCTAATAATTCTGAAACAACATACAAGCCGTTAATTCTAACTTAAATATGTTGAGTTTGGTGTGGAAGCTGGCTTAAAATCGAGTCCCAGTAGGAGTACATGATGCATTTCGCAAATGGTGTGACAGTATCCTTTTGCTCTTGTTCTGTCTGAAGTCCACACTGAACTACTACTGTCATTTTCTCACCTTGTGTATTGTTACTCCTGCCACTAATAGATTTAGTGCTACTGTTCTCAAAACTAGAACTACTAGATGAAATTACATGGACTAGACTTGGAATCAGAACAAAGTCTTTCTGATTTTTACTTTCACTTTCACCCAATTGTGACTCCAACTGTTCATCGCCTGAGCTACAGTCCTATCCATAGGTCTAGCAGCTTCCAGTAAGTTTTGGAGGACATTGTAGGAGCTTTAGCCTTCTGGTTCACTATCAGACCCTTTAAACACTTCAGACATGTTTCGTTTATGTATGTCTTTGAGAGGCTTTGTTCAGTTCACAGAGCTTCTATCACAATGCTGGGGTGACTGACTTAGTCCGTTACAGCTAAAAAAGTATCGCACATAACTTCACCAAATTTTTAACGAAATGAAACGAGTGGGTCAACTGTTGGCTCACAACTTCCTGCAGCTTGTAATATAAAAACCTAAAACAAGGGATTGATAAAGCGCATACCCAGGAGTAGGCTCAAGTGAGTTAATGGTGTCTTTGCAATCTTGTATGCACTGAATATTTTTATGTTTCCTCCCAGACTACCTAATTGGAGACTAACTATTTAAAGAACAGGTTCTGTTCCGTCACTCCATATGTTTGTGCTGGATTGGTCTTTGTTCTGTTATCTGTGAAGATAAAATGTGTGGCTGAAGAAGTCAACAGGAGCAATGGACTTAACTGAAGTAGATGAAATTCGTTAAAGGTAAAGTTTGATGTCATCAGTACCTGCTTAGTATGTTATACAAAATATAAGTCATGGTATTTTGGGAAGATTACTCTTGGCTGATTACAAGTACATTACCAAGCGAGTTGGGGCATGATAGATTGACAGATTGTGGACTCTATGTGTGTTCTGTTTCCCACCCTCACTCCCTATCTCTCTTATAGGGTGTTGAGAATGTATACACCCAACACAAGCCCCTCCTCTTCACCATTTTGGACCAGCTCATAAAAGGCAAGCTGAAGGAGGCAAGCTACCCATACCTGGGTACTGGCCAGCTCAAGGACAGGTAAGGCATGCCTATTGTAAACACAGATTATTCCAGTAGCCTGGTGTTGTGTCAGAGGACAGAAAAAAATATGCTCCATTAGACTTGTGACTCCACTATGAATGATCTAGATTTCACGTCTTCAGTTGTCAACTCAATTTATTTGTTGTTTTTGATACGCCCGCTTTGGAAGAAGCTATGGTTTTGAGTTATGTGTGTTTTTTGTAACAATAAGATGATCCACTTTGTGGCTGCTAAGGCAGGACTGGCGTAGAAGATGCAGCTCACATGTAAGTGATGAGCTACCAGTCTTGTCTCTGCTGGTACAGGTGTGGTTCAAGAATTATTGGAGGGAATGACACTATGAGAAAAACTTGCATCAAATATGTGCGTAGAATGTCAAAGGAAAGAATGAAAATTGTCTTTGTGAAATGGCTCATGTATATTCTTCCCAAATTAATGGGAGAAAAGTATTTTAAGGAAGGAAGTTGCAATTCGCTCTCCCGGTTGGCATTATACACCCGACAGATGCATTTTTTTAAAAGGGCGGGGTGGGGTGTAGATCCTAATTAACAAAATCCTTTGTATGTTTCGGCATAGCATAAGACTTATATCACCTGAATTTGCAAGATAAAATTTGGAAGAACACAAAGTATTTTACGGCTTGACAGGTGCTTTAAGCTTGAACTTTGACAGTTGTTTTGGTTCCATTTTGAGAGTCCATGATAAAGACAATATGCTGTTTGTCATTGAGAATTATACATTTGAAAATTGAATATTCATTGAGTATGAGTGTGGATGGAGTGCACAGGTCATTTGCTTACATTGCTGAAAATTGTATTTCCAAAATAGGCCCCAAGATATTATTGTGTTTATCATTGGTGGATGCACATATGAAGAGGCCCTTGCTGTGCACAACTTCAACAGGATGATGCCTGGGGTTAGGATTGTTTTAGGTGGAACTACCCTTCACAATTCCAAGAGGTGAGAGAATTTATTACTGTTGGTTTGATAATTGTTGACGATAAACCTAAAGAGTGATGTTTGATATTTTTTAATATTGCAGGATTTGGACATTTGTAAAGATGAAGAGTTCATCCTCAGATCCCTAAAAAAGTATTAATTCAGATATACCTCTTAGATAGAACTATGTATGGTTATATTCTTAGGATTATTGGGGTTCAAAAATTGGTACTGATTTAGTAACAAACCCATTGTTTTGAGTAAAGCCAATTTAATCGAAGAAGAGGTCCTCTACGTCTTTTAAGGAACTTGAAAAATAAATTCAGACAAACTTTGTAATATTGTGTGGGATTTTTTTGTGTAGAAGTGAACAGCAGTTTTGTATTAAGCTCTTTCCTCTTTCACACACACACACACACACACACATACATACACACACACACACATACATGCATGTTCATACACTCAAACACACACACACAGATATGCACTCAAACAGACACATGCACACTCATAGACTTATGCAAACACCCATACTCACATGTGCATAGACTCCATTGGATACATGCACACATACTACTGCACATGTATCCACACACTCATATGCACACACACACACACACACACACGCACGCACACACAGGCACACACA